AATGTATTCATTTTGTGCAAACAACCGGGGGACGATGAGGAAGTGCATGAAGTCAATAGGATTGATACCTTGGTGGAGGATCACTTAGAGCTATTGAGCATGTTGAAGTTGGGGAAGGATGAGATTGTTGATCAAGAAGAGCCACGAAGTTTACAGGGAGAAAAAAAATGGACCTTTACATTTGAGAAGCTTCCACATCAAGACAAGAAGATCTTTCCATCAATTGTACAAACTCTAAACTTGGAGTTGAAGCCTTTGCCATCAAACCTCAAATATTCATTCTTAGGGGAGCAAAATACTTTCTCGGTGGTAATAGGTTGTTCATTGGAGCCGAAGCAAGAAGAAAATCTATTGAAAGTGTTGAAGAGGCACAAGGGAGCAATTGGTTGGACAATTGTCGATATCAAGGGGATAAGCCCCCTCATTAGTACAAACCGCATCTATCTAAAAGAAGACTCCAAGCCGTCCTGACAACCACAAAGAAGGTTGAATCCGATCATGAAAGATGTGGTGAGGGACGAGGTACTCAAACTACTTGTTGTGGGCATCATCTTTTCGGTTGTCGACAGTAAATGGGTTAGTCCCACTCAAGTGGTACCAAAGAAATTGGGGTCACCGTGGTTGCAAAAGAGGATAATGAGTTGATTCCGACTAGAGCAGCTACTGGATGAAGAGTGTGTATTGACTATCAGAAGCTCAACTCTTGTACAAGAAAGGACCATTTCCCTTTGTCATTCCTCGACCAAGTATTGAAGAGAGTAGCCAGACATTTGTTCTATTATTTCTTGGATGGATATTCCAACTACAATCAAATTGAGATCGCATTGGAGGATCAAGAAAAGACCACCTTCACTTGCCCCTTCGATACCTTTGCTTACTGACGCAAACCATTTGGGTTATGTAATGCCCCAGGGACTTTTCAAAGATGCATGATTGGAATTTTCAATGATATGATGGAAAAGATCGTGGAAGGCTTCGTGGATGACTTTTTCATATTTGGAGATTCATTTAAGGGGTGTTTGGAGAACTTGGAAAGAGTACTTGAGAGATGCAAGGAGAAAAGTTTGGTTCTCAACTAGGAGAAGTGTACTTCATGTTTAAACAAGGAATAGTGCTCGGGCATATCATTTCGTCGAAGAGGATCGAAGTTGACAAATCAAAGGTTGAAGCCATTTCCAACCTCCCTGCACTAAAATTCATCAAAGATATCAGGTCGTTTCTTGGCCATGCCGGCTTCTATCGTTATTTTATAAAAGATTTTAGCGCATTGGCATGACCCTTGACCAATTTGCTTTCCAAAGATGTCCCATTTGTGTGGTCAGAGAATTGTGAGGCATCATTTAAAAAAATCAAAGGCATGCTCAGTACACCTCCAATTATGCAACCACCCAAGTAGGATTTACCATTTGAGCTCATGTGCGACGTGGGTAATTACACGGTCGGCGCTATGCTAGGTCAAAGGGAAGATAAGAGACCTTATGTAATATACTATGCTAGCAAAACTCTTAATGTGATATCGATACTTAATCACTTAGGTACCGGTACTTGAGCCCAGATTTCATACTCATTTATGCATTTTTTATACCCAATTTTCTAGCCCAAAGGAGTTCATTACAACACCCTTTACATGATTTTACAAGTTCAAAAAAAATTATACAATTGTTTTACAAAACGTAATTCAAAACCACATATCAACTTCTTCATCAACACAGGCCCAAGTGAGGATTGTCTACCTGTGCTTGTCCCGCATTTGAAATATTGTTCCCATAAAGGGTGAGCCACACTCTATAGGTTGTATCTTAAAGAGGCTACTTCCCAACCTAGATGCATATAAAATTTTCACATGCAATACCAAAATCAAACATTCATTCAAGAATATATAATTCAATAATTAACGCCAAAATTTCATGTCATGTTATGAGGCAAGATTCACCCACGCAAATGCAACCCAAGCTCTCTAATAGCTCACTTAATACATGCATATGCATACAAATATGCTAGAATTGATTTTATACATTCTTACAATATTTTTCATACTCTAGTTACAACAGGAGTATATTTAGACAAGAGATTTCATCTCCAATCATGCTACCCATTTCATATATAACCCTATGTTGAAAATAAACCTAGTTAGGAAAGGAACTCTACTTCTTGTAACATAAAGTAGAAACTCCAAGAAACCCAACGCAAGCCTCAATGCTTTGATCCCAACACTCCCGTTCTTGAGAATTTGGCAAAACCCATGATCTTTGGTACATATTTGTAGCTCTCAATGCATAGAACACTTTTTGTTCTTGACCCAAAGGAATCCAACAAACAAATCACCCTAGATCGGAGGAGAAAGGTGGAGATGGGGGAAAGTTTCTCTCTTCTCTCTCTCTCTATTTCAAAAATCAGCTGGAGATTATGGGTGAAAAAATATATTTTTCTCCTTTTTATACCCCTCATTTACTTGGTCATCGTTGAGCCACACGTCCCCCATTTTTTGATCCATTTTTATCCCGAATTAATTAAATCTTGTCACATTTTAGGTTCAAGATATTTTATTTGAACTAACTTTAATTATTTTTTGTATTTTGCAATCATCACATTTATTTTAGTCGTGTGGCACCCGTTCGCACCTTAAAACATGAAAATTTTGACTGTTTTAGAATTTGATGAAATTAACTGGATAATTACATTTTGCGAGACAAATCCAACGATGAAGTCCGTTTCGTCATCCAAGTACTAGAAAATTTTGGGTTTTCAACCCGTACCGTAATGACTAGTTATCATTTTCCCATTCTCAATTCAAATTTTAATTTTTCCCACGTATTACAGGAAGGTACCTTGGCGATAGTAGAGGAGTTATGGAAGAGAGAGAGAGAGAGATGGCAGATGAATGATCTACTGCTTATATGTGTTTGACTGTGTGTGCGTGTGTGAGTCGTGAGACAAAGAGATAGGGATAAAGACAGAGAGAAAGATAGGTGTCTAAGTGACAATAGAGGATCCATGATAGATAGAGGGAGACCTAGGTGACTGCAGAGGAGCCATCACAAATAGAGGGAGACGTTTCTGGTTGAGCCATGGTGCAAACGAGAGAAAGAAGGGAGAGAGAATGAGAGAGCATGCCTGGCTTGGGTTGTGTGCTAGATTGCGTGGGTTATGTGTAGTTAAATTGGGTGGGATTTAGTTTTTGAGTGGGTTTTATTGTGAGCCATTAGATTAAGTTTGAAGAATTTAGATGAAATATGCACCATTTAACTTAAAGTGGATTAAATCTGAGCCGTCCTTACGCTTTCCCAACTGTGGAGATTCAAATTGCACTCTGTCTTATTATTATAGATATGTTAAAAAATCTAAATATAAATTAGTTAAAAGAGATTATGAAAATTCAAATGTGAAGTAGTTATTTAAAGGTTGAAAATGGTTACTTAGGCCACATGTTGAAATTTAATTAGAGGCCAATTAAATATTTTAAAATTAGGAGAAAATAGTATTTAAGAAGAGAAAACTTCTCAAGCACTCTCTCTCATATTTGAGTCTTTTAGGATATGTTTGGTTTAGGTACAAATAAAAAATTGAATTGGATAATTAGTTCTCATCCAATTCAAAAAATGGTGTTAAAAAGATTACTATTTAATCTTATCATTGAATAACAAGTTTGAATCAAGATTGAGATAATAAATAAATCTATAATTATAATACTAAATTTATTTTTAGATTAATTAATAATGTATGATATTAAATTAAAAATGACAAAACAAATATTGAGGGTAAGAATTTGAATAATGTGTAACTTTTATATGAAGGTGTAACTCTAAGTTTGCAAGGATAATAAGGTCATTTTGCATTTTTAATACTTAACTTGTTAAAAATAATACAATCTACTACATAATATCAGGTATTAAATGGTAATAGTGAACCAGCCACGGGTCAAGATTAATTAAAATTAATACTAGGTCGCTATATCTTCATCCAAATTTAGTATTATATTATTATCAGATAAAATTAATTCAATTCATCCCTTAATACTTAAACCAAACATACCTTAATATATAGTATAGAAATATAGATACTTGTATTTAACCTGGTTTTTTTGATTGTGTTACATCAACACATAGTAAAATCTTATTCTTTTGTATTTTATTCCCGCTGGTATCTGCCTATTGCCTTTCGAATACCGTCTTATTGACCCCTATCTTTTATAATCTTGTTGAAGATTTATCCTCAACTTTCTTTGTGTTTTGTCAGTGAAAACATATGCCCATTCATGTAACAAATCCAACAGAATATGGAAGGTTTTATACTTTAATTAAGGGTTGGTTGGTAAGGCAGGCCATTTCCAATCTAAAAGGTGTCTCACAGTATAAAATATTCATGGCAGTTATTAGTGGACCAACTTTGGAGAGGAGCCAATTAAATGTTGGACAGTTGGGTTTGTCTTCCAACCCAGTGTATCTTCTGTAGCTGACCTTTCCAGCTAAGCTTTCTCCTTCTTTTTGTTCTTTCTCTTTGTAATCTCTGCTCTTGATTGCAAAGAATGCTTATGCCTTCCATGCTCTAAGTGGGTTGAGAACAGAGCTGAATGGGTGTCCTGAGAGAGGGTAGGATTGTCATTTCAGGCGAATGAATACTTGTAAAAGGAGATTACAAATGGGTCATGTCTTGTCTTGTCTTCAATAAAATTAACTCAAGATTCAGTGATTTCTTGATATTTTGGATTTTGTTTGAGAGGTGCCATTTGTCTTAGATTTGGAATTCATCATCAAAAACCTTCAAATCTCAGAAGCACTTTTTTGGTGTTTCCACTTCCACCGGAAAACAGTTGAGTCTCTTCTTCAAGTGCTCAAAATCTGTAGTAAATGCTTGCTCTGTCTTGAATGAAAACTTCTCAATTTGGTTCTGCTTTTCAAGATTTCAGCTTTATGGTCCTTGTTACTTGCTCTTATAAATTCCATTGTTACACTTTTCGAGGAATTGTCTGATATATCTTCTGATGTGACTTTAAGCATGGACAAGAATTTCATCAGGTAATATGATTTTCGGTTGAAATTTGCGTATTGGGTATCTGGATTTCTCTATGGAGTCAAAGTCGAAGTACACATTTTTTGTTTCTTAGTTGCTGCTGTGAAATGGATTGGCTATAGTTGAAATGAGTTATTAATGAAGAGTATTTTCATGAGGGTTTTGTTCTGCAAGATCCATTGTCCTTCATTCATTTGCTTCTGCAAGCCCTCTGCTGCTCACCTTTACACTCCAGGGCCATTGAAATTGGAAAATACGCATGGACTCTCATCAGCCGTGTGTGCTACAGATGCATCTGATCATATAGCTCGTGGAACCAATGAGGTCAAAGAAGAGAATTCAGAGGGGAAACAAGAAGCTGAGGATGTTCCCAGAAGCTGTATTAGGAAGGCCCCTTTGGAATCGGGTGCTCCGAAAAAGGCCGAGAAGAAGCGAGTTCAATGGTTGGATAACTTTGGGAAAGAACTAGTTGAGATCAAAGAATTTGAATCCAGGTGAGTCTCTCTCTCTCTCTCTCTCTCATGTTTAACTATTCTTTTGATTACTTTACGGATTAGTACTGCACATAATTATAATTGCTTCTGTAGTTAGTTTTAGATGAAAATTTGTGTAACTTTTGCTGTTATTTAATTGTGATTTACGGTGAGAAGTAGATGAAAGGAAGAAATAGTTTGATCTCTAACTTTAGTCAGAAGAAAAGAAGAGTAATAGAAGTCTTGACTTAGAACCAACGAGATTAGAAAGGAAGAAGAGGAAATGGAAAAAAATGTTGTCCAATTTTATAGAATTGCAGAATAATGAACTTGGCGGAAAGGACTGTAGGCCAATGAGATGGATCTCATATATGAGATGCTCATTGGACAAATTTGTGCAACAAACTGGTAACCATAATAGAATGAAAAAGAAATGATAGCGAGAAAGAAAGGCAAAATATTAATTCAGGATTGTGAGTTCTTTTCCATGGTTTATGCAGGAAGTAAAAAATGAAAAAAAAGAAAAGGGAAAAAAAAAAAACAAAGCTTAAGTCGAAAGTACCAGGTTTCTTGGATTCTATGCAGAAAGTTGAATTTTGTCTGAGATAGCATGATTGCGATATTCAGATAAAAAGATGAGTTAACTGTGTAGATTAATCTCTGAAAAAGAAAAGAGGTGATTATTGGAATGGGAATCCAATGCTTCCTCAGAGAGAACAAGTTCACACATTAGTAAAGGACATTAGTAAAGGAATTGAATGCTTGATCTGGGTTTGGACCGTTATCTAGATATCAAATTGTTACCAGTTCCAGTTCCTTAGAGATGAGCCGAAAATAACATTTGCTGCCAGACATCTCCGGGTAGCATGTTAATAGAACACTCTCTGGTTATACTGTAATCTGTTTTACTGGATAGTGTTTGCAGAACAATCTAATTGGTCTATACATTCTCTATCATTTCCTACGCATGAATGAACTCTGTCTATGTTTTGAGTCACTACTTCATCAGGTTGCTCAAACTGACTAGGAATATAACAGTTACAATAGTTTGCAGAAACAATGTTAGGATCCTAGCATTCCAGATCGTCTGTCTCTTCCCATCATTCTGCATTGTTGTCATCCTCCTTATTTGAATTATTTTTTCCTTAGTTAAAGGATTAATTGCAATCCTTTCCCTGTTTTCCTAAGCTGAGAAAGTTCCATTGACATTGTTGATTTGTACAGCGACTGTTTCAGAGTTTAACTATTTGTGCCTAAGAATTGTGCAATACTTGGAGAAATATGATGGTAACCATATACAAGACCACATATATTTCAGGTCAAACTTTCGAGCCATGGTATAAAGTCATAGAACCAATAGATGAGGCAAAGAATAAATCGAGTACCGAAGTTGGTACTGTTCCCCGGGATTGCATAGTGATGTTGATGTAACATTCCCAGACTTCTAAGCAGTCAGTGAAGAAAAAAGATTGAAATCTGGTTCTTTTGATCTATAGAAAGCAAAAGAGAAATTCATAAATAATATATTTGGAGGTTGAAAACAACATTATCTGATCGATAATCCAGTGAAACAGATAACAGCATTTTTTGTATCAGGGGTTCCTGCCTATTCCATGATCCCACCCAGTTCGGGTGATGGATTTTCCCCTTCCAATATCAAGAAGAGACCTGTACAGCCATTTATTTATACAAGCAATTACAATATTTCCCTTAAAGGAGTTTCAGTTATTGGAATCCCCAAACCCCTAAAGGCTTTCAAAACAGACCTAAATCCCTAGTCTTAGGAAAGTTACTGAAAACAAATAAACAGATGTCTAATGAATTAGGAAAATTGAGATGGTTTAGGCAACAAATTACTCTAGAATATTCTTAATTAAACTCTTCTAAATAAATGACAAAATAATAAAAATAAAATAATTCCTAAAGCCATTCTACATCAAATATATAACCAGTCAAAAGAATAGAATATGTATAACTAGCTGCATCTTCTGTAACTCGATGCTCTTCTCAGATTGAAGTACATTTTTTTTTTTTGTTGTCTTTATTTTTTGGTCTGGGATACAATTATTTCTTCAATTATAATCTGACAATAGTCCTATCATTGGGAACGATTTTTACCAACAGTGAAACAGGCGATATTGACAACGAAGAATACAATAGGGGTTGTGCTTGCATTATTCTATGATACTGCTTAACCGGCTTCAAACAGCAAATTCCTGCAGTGGCTACAGTCTAGTTCAGGAGTGACCACAAAAAAGAATGATGATAAGAAAGCTTTATGCTCGCAATTACATTCTACAAAATTTGGACTTGATTCACAAAAGAATTGTGCCAGAGAAAATCTCATCTTCTCGTTGCCTATTTGTACTATGCTGTAGGCTCTGAACTCGGAATAAAGAACTTTTTGTGGGAGTTCAGCTTAAACAATTGCCATCCATTTGTAAGAAGTAAAGCCATTGTTTCAGTCAACAACTATATTTAATTCTTCTTCTGCTAGTCAAACGCTATACAAGTTCTTTAATCTGTTTTCTTTTTGATTAACTATAGTTAAAACGTAAAATACGTAGAGAAAGTGACAAGAAGTGAAGAAGATAGGTGGAGAGAAAGGGAATGAGAATAATCTATGTATTAGACTGTGTTGCACTGCATCCTCTTATTTATATTGAACAAATATCTAGGGTAATTACAATATTACCCGACACTAGCCTAAAAAACATAAAAATAAAAACTATGACATTTCTGGTTTCGACACAATCATTGTTGCGATGTGGAATGGTTATTCTCGAAAATTTGTTCACGAAGATTTAACTTTGAACACGCGAAAGCTAATAGCATCACTAACAGGATTTGCAGTCATAACAACCATCTCATTCTTCTATAAAATTTCTCTTTCAAGGGTTAAAATTTTATTGTCATTTTTTAATGTTATGTGATGGTGTAGTCTAAACAAATGAGTTGTTGAGCTCAGAGCTCAGCGAGAGAAAATGGGTTTGAGATTTGATAGGGAAGATAATAGGGGTTTACAGGGAAATCCAATCGGCGCTACTAAGCTCGCAAGGGCAAACAATCAATCACAAAGATAATCACAATTAGTAGAAGTTGATAGATAGGAGATTTATGGTAGTTTACCACCCCATAAGTTTAACTAGTCCACTTTAATGGAATCTCTTACTCTTAGTGGAGATTTTCTATTATTTTGGAAAGAAGATTACAAGATTTTGCATAACTCTTAGGTATATCCTCTCTTCGAAAATGTGGGATTGATTCATGTTTATAGCCTGAGCTAGGCGTTAACAACGTGATTCCCGCATAACCATTGTATCCTCGCATAACGGTTGCGATATATGCGTCATCATCGTGATCCCCTTGCGGTCGTTGCGACCTATGAGCCAAGATTTTTGGCTGATAAAAGCTATATTCCTGAGGTGTGACGTGGCCTTCCAGAAAGTGAACTGTTGCTATCGCAACAAGAATGGGGGTCACGTCGGCGAAGGTTATCAACCTTGAGGACCTGTGTTGGGATATGAACTTGAAGACCTAAATTTGGGTTGAGATGCCTGAGTTGGAATACCCGAGCTAGGGTAGAATGTAGACCAGCTTGTTCTCCTAACTTCAATTGTTTTAGTTGTAAATCTAGAATCTGAAATCGTCATGTGGGGCCCCCATTGAGGGCAAGTTCCCGATCTTAACTTTCCACCTTGATCTTAACTGTTTGAAATGGTACAAAGGGCTTTCGCACAATATTTTTATCATGAAAAATTTTTATTCTGAACTTGACAATTTTCGCATTCTCATATGCTTCATTTCTCAGTTATTCTAATTCATTGATTGAAGTTTGCGGGATGTACTTGCTTTGTCAATATCAAAATTCATAATTTGGATTGCCTAGTATGCTCGGTGTTCCAATGCCACAAGCAAGTGACATGGTTTACCGTAAATCAGCCGGTAAGAATATATTCCAAAAATAATTATGGGTTAACTAACTGTTTATTCTAAAATATATTTTATATCCGTAATAGCTAATTCAGCTTGTCCGCTTGTTTAGGGATGATAAGGGGCATATATTTTATGAAAAATCAAATATTTTTTCATCAAATTCTCAAAAGATTTATTGCAAAAATGTTTATCCCATCACTTATAATAGCTCGAGGAATTTTAAATTTAGAAAAAATATTTTCTATTAAAAATTTGATTATTGTCTGGTGATCATTGTTTCGACAAGGAATTACTTCAACCTATTTGGAAATATAATAACCAGTAACCAGAATGTACAGATGTGCAAAGGTGGGGGAAATTGTCCTATAATATCAATGCCCCAACAATAAAAAATTTCAATAATCAAAATAGAATTTATAAGCATCATGTTTCTTTTTAAAACATTCCCCATCCTTTGACATTAGTTAGAATTTAGACAAAAGACATGTATATCTTTAAAAAGAATTGACCAATAAAATTCATACTACAAAATTTTAGCAGCGTTTTTCTTTGGGGAGAAATGTCACCACAGGCTTCAAAATAACCAAAGGAAATAACTTACCTATTTCATAATTGGATACACAACGCCTTATTATCTATTCTTTATAGTGTTTAAATACATAGGGATCTTCCCAAAAGAAATTGCGTACCTCTCTTAAGAATTTATGCGTATCGGTCCAAGTATAATGAATAAGAATGAAACCTATGGCTAAATAATTGGCTATGTATGCATACCATGGTATCTCTGTTACTACAAATAATTGCTCATCAGGAAAAGTTTCTTTGATTGATATTGACTCCTCTTTTGTATCATAACTCAGCCTTGATAAATGACCAACTACCACATTTTCAACTCTTTTCTTTTCTTTGATAACGAGATTAAATTCTTGAAGTAACAATATCCATCGTAGGAGACTTGGCTTAGCATACTTTTTTGTAAGCAGATATTTTAAGATTGCATGATCAGTAAACAGAACAATTGAGGATGCAACCAAATATGATCGACACTTATCAAAAGCAAATAGTGCAACAAACAATTTTTTCTCTGGGGTACAATAGTTCATTTGTGCATCATTTAAATTTTTGCTTGCATAGTAAATCATATAGGGTCGCTTATCTTTTCTTTGGCCCAAAACAGCTTTTACAACATAGTTACCAGCAATACACATTAATTCAAAAGGTAAAGACCAATTAGAAAGTTGCATAATTGGTGCAACAATAAGCATGTTTTTAAGTTTATCAAATACTGATTATCATTTATCATTCCAATCAAATGGTATATCCTGACATAGAAGATTACACATTGGTTTGGATATCAAACTAAATTTTTTGATAAATCTTCTATAAAATCCTGCATGACCTAGAAAGGATCAAATATCTTTTGCAGTCTTAGGCAGAGGGAGATTCGCTATTAAATCAATCTTTGATTTATCAACATCAATTCCCTCTGCAAAAATAACATGTCCTTGAACAATGTCTTGTGTGACCATGAAATGACATTTTTCCTAATTCAAAACAAAGTTTGTTTTCTCACATCGAGTGAGGACCTTTTCAAGGTTTTCTAAACACAATTCAAATAAATCACCATATACTAAAAAATTATCCATAAAAACTTACAAGAGTCACTCCACCATGTCACTAAAAACACTCAACACACAATGCTAGAAAGTGGCTGGAGTGTTATGATTAGTAGTAAAATTAGCATCTTATTATGTCTTTTTAAGACTAATTATACTTCGATAGAGTTTCAATGATGGCATTTCAGGAGAAATATTGAACAAGGGGCTAAATTCAATTCATATCAAACTTTCATGCAACAACCGTATGTTCTGAAAGAAAATTGGAGAAGTTTGAAACAAGGCAATAACATTCCAACACCAATCCACGTTCGAACGTACTCTTGAATTATTGGAGGACCAGACTACTTAGATGATGATACTTGGCATGTTGCAGCTTATAAGAAAATCAAAGAGCTACTAGAGTACCATGTTCGAACGCCAAATAACGTTCGAACGTTGGCTTGAATCAATTGAGGACTCCCAGGAAGAGTGTGCTATGGTATATGGCGTGTGGAAGTGACTCTCACAAAAGAACAAAGGCCACTTGAGTGCGGAGTTTAAACCCCATCCAACGTTTGAACGCCCATCAAGAAGACAGGAGATAATGTTCGAACGCCAACTAACGTTCGAACGCCCATCAAAGAAGACAGGAGACCACGTTCGAACACCAAATAACGTTCGAACGTTGTCCCCAGACAGGTTGTAGAGTGGTTGATTTTCTATCAGGACCTTGGGGTATTCACTTGGACTTTGAAGGCCTTGTACTATTATTTTACACTCCCTTGCCCTCTCCTCCTTGCCTATAAATACTCCCATTGTGGGAGCTTCAAAGGGAGGTAGAAAAATTGCACTAGTTAGTCTTAGATTTAGATTTACATTTACTTGCATAGAGGGAGATAGATTATTTTTTGGTTAAGGTGGAAACCCTCCAAAATTAACTATCTTTCCTCTACTTTCATTATTAGTTTCATTTGCTTCAATTTTTTGAGCTTCCTTTTTCCCTTAGAGGAGTGAAACTCTTCCACTTTTCTAGAGCTTTACCAAAGCCAGGAAGGGTTGAACGTGATTCACTCATTCTTTGTCGAAGATCGGCTCCTTGTGTAGTGTGTTTTACCTTGTAACTTCTCTACTTGGAGGGATGAGCATCACTCACATTCTAGCTTTACCAAAGCCATGAAGAGTGAATAGTTCCTTATTCACTTTTTAGTAAGATGTGATGGACATGTATAAATCATCTAAAAGTTATATTTGTGCATTTCATTTATGTTTAATGCTTTATATTTCACTTGCTTATTAAGTGATTGAATGCATCTAGCAAAACAAAGGTACTTTGTAAAACTGTGAGTACTTTATATGACATAGGTGACTCTTCACATAGAAAGACCCATTGGTTCTAGACAAGTACTCCGGACAGATCTTTTTGACTACATTTCAATCTTCACCATTATTGTACTTCATTTAAAGAATGAAATTTTAACACAATGGTTGGATGCCTTGTAAAGACACTTGTCTTTTTGTAAACGGGTTGTGTTTCGACACAAATAATTCTTGTAAACCTCTACAAAGATATCGGAACCATGCTCTTAATTCTCACAATCCATCTTTATCTTCTGATTAACTTCATGTTGACATAGGGATTAATTGAGTTACCAGCACAAGTATAACAAACCAGATGATTAACTACTGTTCAGATTCTTGAGCTAAAGGGTGACTGTTACATTTGATAATTTATTATATTTTGTCTAGAAAAATCCCTTGGAAAGAATCTTATATTCTATCCAGGAAATCCCATAATTTCAAATCTTAAGGGTTTTAGTCACTACTTACTTTGAAACACCAACAATAGTTTCCTGTGGATTCGACTCCAAACTTAACCGAATTATTACTACAGCTTGACCACCTACACTTTGGTGTACACATTTCGGATCAAGTCACGTTACACAATCCAAATGGTATTCT